GGTGCCTCAGAGCTGTTTTGATTTGCCCTTATCTAATCAATAGTGATTTAGAGCATTTTTTCATACGACTATAGCTATGGCCCCTGTTCTTCTTCTCCCCAGATCTTCCCGCTGATCTCCCAGTCCCGCTGGCTGGTGAGGCACGGGGAGCTGGTGGAGCTGGCACCCCCCACCATGCCTGCTGTCTCTGCTGCCAAGCCCAAGCTCTCCACCAAAGCCATCTACTTGCACGTCTTTAATGACTGCCTACTGCTCTCTCGAAAGAAGGAGTGAGTAGAGGGGCTTTGCAGTTGGAAGGGTCATCTGGGGAGGTGGGGACAGGGCACTCAGTTAGCTAATTGGCCAATCTTTACCAGGCTCAGACCAGGCTTTGCAGCCGCCAGGTGGACAGCAGCACACTGTTAGTGTCAAAGTCAGGACTGGACTCTTAACTTTTTATTCTTTCTTACGTGGAAAAGCTGGCAGAGGCCCCATCTGCGGGAGATGGGACGAGGAGTTACCCACATGGACTGGGAGAGGGGAAAGGGGATGCCTTCTGGGTACTGTGATTAGACACGTAACAGTCGTGGCCCTGGAGTGGGTGCATGGTCCTCAGATTCAAGCCTCTCCCATCTCTGCAGGGGCTCAGAGTTGGGGGGCACAGGCTGATCCGGGTATCCTCTGGCCCCTGCAGGATGGGGAAGTTTGCCGTCTTCCTTTATGCCAGGATGCCTGAGATCCAGGTGAAAGACCTGAGTTCAAAGCTCCAGGGAATCCCAGGCCAGGTCTTTCTCCTCCAGCTCCTTCATAGCCACCAGCCCAAGAACCAGCTGCTCCTGAGGGCTCAGACAGAGTGAGTGCCCTCTCCTGAGGTCTGTTCTCAGGCTGCCCCATTCCTCCCTGTTTGAGGCTGGGGCTGGTGAGCATACAGCTCGGGGCTGAGATCGCCAAGTACAGGGCATTATGGTTGTTTGTCCCACCCAGAGGAGCTCTGGCCTCAGCCGCATTGGGCCTTCTCTCTGGGTACATTTGCCCCCTAAGGCCAGGAAGAAGGTTGCCCCAGGAGTTTTCTAGCAAGAGAGTTCCTGTGGCATGTGGTCCCAGTCTATAAATCTGTATCCCCAGATCCTCAGGGGTCACTCACTGGATTGGGGACAGAGGGTAGCCTGGGCTCAGACTATGGGAGGGCATGGTTCTGGGAGCCGAAAAGTGTGGGCCTTTACTCTGGGCACCTCAGCTGAGCCTCTGAGCCCCAGGACAGTCAGGGAGCCCAGGTTTTGGGGAGAGGGACCTCTGGGTAGCTGTTGGGCCTCCAATGTCCCTCCAGAAGTGAGAAGCAGCGGTGGATCTCGGCCATGTGCCCTTCCAGTGCCCAAGAGGACAAGGAGGCCATCAGCGAGAATGAAGGTACTGCCCCTGAGGCCCTCTGCACGCCCATACTAGTGTGAGGGTCTGAGGACTTGGAAACTTGTAAGACCTAGTTCCTGCCCACCAAAAGCTTGAACTCTAGGAAGGAGATCAAAATAGATGCCTGTATAATTATGGCACAGAAATGAAAGACCACGTAGTCTAACACTGCCTTGGTTCCGTAGGAGCTCAAAGGGGAATGGAATCACTGAGGAACAGGCTCGTCTCCTCAGGAACAGGGAAGGCCTCATGGAGTAGGTAGGCCTTGAGCTGGGCCTTGAAGAATGTGTCCAGTCTAGAGGAAGAGAGGGATAAGGATGGAGAGGGAGTGGGACGGCGGGGAATATCTGAAGGCTCAGAGCCAGCAGGGGACTTAGACATCGTCCAGTCCAGTCCCCTTGATTCATAAAATCACAGGCTCAAAGAATTTGAGCTTCTAGGGACCTAGTCAGCCAACTAGCATTTATTAAGTGCCTACTATGTGCCAAGCGCCTACTATGTGTCATCATTAAACCTCTTTATTTTCCTGATGAGGAAACTGAGGCTCTGGAATGAATTACCTTCCTACTATTCCATAAAATGGGAATGATCATGGTATGCCTGGAGGGTAATGATGAGTTTGACCTGAGTAATATAAGTGAATAATAACCATATTAAGGCAGACCTCAATGCCAGCCTGAGGGATTTCTGTTGTACCTCAGAGCCAACAGGGAGCCAGTGAGTGTTGTCTGAGTAGGAGAGTGACCTGGTCAAGCTAAGAAAATCATTTTGGCAACCGTGTGGAGGAAGGGATTGGAGAGAGGAGAGATTGGGTGCAGGGAGGACAGCCAGGAGGCTATTACTGTAGTCTAGGTGAGAGGTGAGAAAGGTTTGAACGAGGCTTATGCTGTGGGAGTGGGGAGAAAGGGTTGGGATGCAAGAGGTGCAGAAGAGATCTTAATCACCAGTTGGATAGGGGCAGCTAGGTAACATAGGGGATAGAGCACCCTGGAGCCAGGAGGATCTGAGTTCAAGTCCAACCTCAGACATTTACCAGCCAGCTGTGTGACCCTGGCTAAGTCACTGGAGTCCAATTGCCTCTAAAAATTAAAAAAAAAAAAAAAGCAGTTGGAGACACGTGGTCTAGGACAAAGGGGAGTTCAAAATTTGGGGTCCAGGGGACTAAAGGTATGATGTCTTCAACTGAAACAGGAAACTTGGAAGGAGGGCCATGTTTAGGGGGAAAGATGCTGAGTTCCCTTTTTCCTGTTGGGGCATGTTGCTTTTGAGATGTCAGCGGGCCATCCAGCGGGGATGTCCAGTGGGCAGTCGTAGATGCTGGGCTAGGGAGTCATCTGCATAGAGGAGATCATTGAACTGGAGGGAGTGGAGGAAATACCCAAAAGAGAGAGAGAAAAAGCAGGGGAAGAGGGCCCAGGATAGAGCCTGGAGGGAGCACCAACCTTGGAAGGCAGCAAGAGAGTGAGACCGGGTAAGCTACAGAGCAGTGGGGAGAGACAGCCAGCCCAGCCCCTTCCTGCCCTAGCCCTGCCTCTAGGCCTTTGCTTTGAGCCCCGCTCTCTCTGATGCTGTGGACTGTCAGACCTCCCCCAGGTGCAGTGCATCAGAGCCTATAAGGCTCTGGAACCGGACGAGCTGACCCTTGAGAAGGCTGACATCCTGGCTGTGAGGACCAGGACCGGCGATGGTGAGGGCAACATGGCCTTGGAGCCCTGGTCTTTACTCCTTCCTCCCCTTCCTCCCCTCCACAGACTATGGAGCTGGGGTGGAGGGTGTTTCTGGGTAGTTTTATATGAACTTCTCAGGGTCCTTCCCATAACTACCCTCCCCACCAAGCCCCTGCCACATATGCTGATAAAGGAATCCACATAATGCCAGAGCTGGGAGGGCCTTAGAACACAGAATGTCAGAACTGGGAGGACCCTTAGTACATAGAATGTCAGAGTTGGGAGGGCCCCTAGAACACAGAATGTCAGAAGTGGAAAGGTCTCTAGAACACAGGATGTCAGAGCTAGGAGGGCCCCTAGAACACAGGACGTCAGAGCTGGGAGGGCCTTAGAACACAGGATGTCAGATCTCAGAGGGCCTTAGAACACAGGA